TTCTTCTATCTTCACTTTCTTTTGTTCCACCTGGTTCATCTATGCGATTTCTGTTCTTGGTATTCAGCCTTCTTTAAACCCTGGCTAATAAACTTGTGACCAATTCGAATGGCAGCTAATTCACCTCATTCCCTTTGATTCTCATTTTACTCCAACTCTTGTGAATCAAAGCAAGTATTTTGAATGTTTGAGGGCATAATCCCAATATGCCAGAGTGGAGATATGCTCCACAGTTTGAAAAAGCCCTGTTAAAGTGATGCTTCTGAAAACTGAGTATCTGTATATTCTAATTATCATAGCATTATATGCTTTCTTCCTGACAGGAAAGTATTTATTTATTCTTCCTGAACACTGGAGTATGTATGAGCGCTTGTCTGTTTTTGTGGACAGGGTGCCATCTTGTGGGAAATTCACACACTACAAAAAGCGAATTTACTGCCGAATTAATGCTGAGGTCCCTTTTTTAAAAAAAAGGGGGGGGGGCGCTTTCAGGGCGAATATTATCCTCCAAAGTTTTTTTTAATTATCTTCCCATGCAAATCACTTTGAACATTAATGGAGTTTGTTCACCAACTAGACCAGGTGGAAACTCTCACTTCGTTCAAAAACCTCAGCATACAAATTAGTTCCTTTGACTAAACACCTGAATTAAATTGCCAGAACATCCACAATTTTGCAAAGGTCAAATGTGATCTGACTTTTGGCCTCATTAGACAAACCAGTCACTTTGATGCTACAGTAATTTGCCTTGATATATAAGTTCCCTAACTGAAGGATTTAATCATTTCTTTTTTCACATCTCCGCTTCCACTGCCTCGTTACAAAATCTATATCTCTCACTAGTCAGAATTTCTGGTCGCCAGGAAGGAATCTTTCCTACCTGTGATATTCCAATTGGTGTGATGCAGTTAGGGAGAAATTTCAGTCTCAAAAGTGTTACAAAGATCAATCGAGATCTGAACATCAAGAATACCAGAAATAAATCAAGCCCTCTTTAGTGAGGAATCTTTAGTGAGGAATTAGAAGAGATTATTTTTTCCATTGCTGGATAAATTAAATAAACAGTACAGGGCATGGGTCATGTCACTAAGGAGACAGGCAGCGCTGCCATCACCCTTGACTTCTGAAATACAGACGCAACAGTGTTGAACAAAAGTGCTGAACAAAAGGATTAAGCCAAATTGCCTTTTCTGATCATTTAACGGGTTTGTGTGTCGTGGTGTTTTGTTCTGGTTTTCCGAGAAATTCATCAAGGAGATGAAACGTCAGACCTTGGAAAAGGTGGCTGAACTTCAATTATAAAGGAAATGAGTTGTCTTGGTTCGTTGTATTCAGATTTCAGACCTACAGTAGTTACACGGTAGAATCTGCACTAGTAACCCATCAATGAGCTAGGACTGGATGGAGGGAGTGCAGCTTTTTTAGTCCTGTTAGATTACCCAGAAGCTCTTGAGCGATGAGATTCTTATGGAGCGCTTGGGACTTGCAGGCATTGTAAAATGTCGGCTCTGTTCCTACTCCGAGGGCAGTTCCACTCAATAAGAGATGGCAGGAGTGGGATTCTACCGCATCAGACTGGTTTGGGCGAACCCCTTGCTCTGATGATCAGATGGCTCCAGACCGGTTTGCTGCGACGAGCATGTGGGTCACCCGCACACCGCTGCTCTTTCCTGTGCTTTATTTCCTTTGTTTAGAGCACAGCTGATTCACACAACAGAGTGGTTTGCCGCTTCTCAGCTGTTTGAGTCACAGAGGCTGCAGTATGGGCTTTTTAAAAATGCGGACCATGCACGCGCAATCACAGAGCTGGTTGTTATACAGGTGGAACCCTACTCCTGGTTGAGTCCTTTGCCATTCCTCTCCAATGTTACTTAACAATTATATGAAGCCACTGGACTGGACCATTCATGATTTGGAGTGAAGTATCATCAATATTCAGATCATATCCAGCTAGATACCCAAGTCTCTACCAGGCAGGAGATACAGGAGGTGTCCCGATATAGCCTTGATCAGAGGCTATAAAGCAAGGGTGTCAAACTCACATTGTCATGGCGTCATCAAGTGACAGATTGTGACTTTTTTCCTCCTTCACTAAACTGAGCGTGGTCAGCACATGACCCATCTTGCGTGTGGGCCGCAAGTTTGACAGCCCTGCCCTAGATTGAATGGGAACAAAGCATGAGAAAATGATAGTTCATTCAGAAACCCTCTATTTTGTCATGACACTCCTGCTTTGATTCTTAGTGGGGTTGGCACTTGAAGAAGTTCTACTGCAAGGGTCTTCAAACTTGACAAGTTTAAGACTTGTGGACTTCAACTCCCAGAATTCCTAAGCTAACATGAGGAGGAATTCTAGGAGTTGAAGTCCACAAGTCTTAAACTTGCCAAGTTTGAAGACCCTTGTTCTACTGTATGGTGGTGCAGTGGTTAAGTCCGGTATTGCAGGCTGACTCTGCCCACAGCAGGAGTTCGATGCTGACGGGACTCAAGGTTAACTCAGCCTTCTATCCTCCTGTAATCAGTAAAATGAGGACCCAGATTGTTTAGGGGCAATATGCAAATAATGCTGACATTGTAAACCATCCAGAGAGTGCTGTAAAATACTATGGGAAGGGAAGTATATAAACCTAAATGCTATTGTTATGAAATTTATTGGGTGGGCATGGCTTCTATACCACTTGCAAATGAAAACAGTGGTGTGAGGAGCTTTTGCCCAGGTTCACGCAGTCCACAAACCTTTCTTAGAGTTTGGGCAACTATCATTCGCATCCTGTCAGTCCCGTGAGACAAGTCAGGTCAGGAAGCTGACTCCACAAATCCACAAATCTGTCCAAAAGCATATTTTATTGAGGAAGGCAAAAATAACTTTGAAAGCCTGAATTTTCCCCTCATTCCCTCTTACACTACAGAGAATTAGACAGGAGTCATTCAGAGCTTCTTTCTCACACTTGTAGCATGTTGCCCGGCTTAACAAATGCTTTTGTTTATGTAACCATCTGCTTCCGCTTAGCTGTCCCAACATCATCTCTGTGGCTCTCTACATGTCCTCATTATTTTGACATTGACACTGACAAGAAGCTCTATGTGGGGCTGCCCTTAAAGACCATCTAAAAATTGCAGTTGCTACAAAATTCAGCAGCCCATATGCTGGCAAGCTAGAGACATTTCAGCTTCATTAGAGGCACACTGTGAAAGGTGCATTGATTGCCAATAGATTTTTTTGTATGCAATCCAGGGAGCTAGTTTTAATCTATATAGCCTTTTAATGACTGAGACATAAGTTACCATACCACCTGTCTGATTAGAGCATCCTTCCCAGAGTCCCTGGGAATTTAGTGGCAAATAAATTTAATAAACTATCATCCCAGGGTGGAGGTTGGAAAATGCTTCGGCTTCTTTCTCTCAGGGAGATTAGGAGGCTGAAAAATCCACTTATCCTTTTCAAAAAAAAAATTGCTTCCAAAATCTGAATAATTGCTGTGCTGTTGACCTTCTGCTGTTTTTTGACATTCTGAAAGCTGCTAAAACTTTGCACATGGACCATGAATCGACCACCAAACTAAATTCAGGCTTGACACAGACCAGGTTGCTTTTAACCCTGTCTTGTTTATGTTATTGTAGTTACTATATCCTAAGTTTACTGCATCATAATTTAATCTTTAGTCTTCTTTTTATCATTTGGGACCTGTTTTCATTTGCTATTTAAATGTATTATTGTTAAAGTATTTAAAATGTGTGGACTATAAAGCTTATAAGTACATATAAGTGTGAGATAATATTTGCTTACCATTCAGAACAAGTGAGTGTTGACTAAAGCGAAGACTTTAAACAGAAGTACGTTAGAGTGCATTGCAGTTCAATTGATTTAAATAAGACACATTTTAAGCAGGTGTTTAAAATCAATAGAGTACAAAGCATGCCTTTGTTTGGACTTATTGCAACAGCAACTGTCTGTATTCTGATGTTCCGATGCGAGTGAGAGCACATGACATGACTGGAGGAAATGCATTTATCTTGTACCCCAGAATATTGCATAGTTATTAGAGAAGTATTTATCAACCCTGATAATTTTAAGATGTATGAACTTCTACTCCCAGAATTCTGGGAGTTGAAACCTACATATCTTAAAATTGACAAGGTTGAGAAACATTGAGTTAGAGCAAGCAAGCCCTCCTTCTCACTGGCCATGTAAAGTAAAGCAAACTATAAGATCAGATCAGCTGTATCCATTATGCAGTTGACAAAATGTATATCACTATGCAATCAAACTGGGATGGGCTTTGAAACAAGTGATACAGTGACTTCCTATCTCACTTCTAAAACTTTTTGAGCTGCTTTCTCCCTCTGTGTGTGAGTATTGAAATGATTTATATCCTCATAACTATATGGGGTACAGTCACACATGAGGCGTGATGGTGCAGTGATTAGAATGTAGTGTTGCAGGCCAACTCTGCCCACAGCCAGGAGTTTGATCCTGACCAGCTCAGGTTGACTCAGCTTTCAAGGTTGGTAAAATGAGGGCCCAGATTGGGAGCAATATGCTGACATTGTAAATTAAACCCCATTCATTTCAAGGTGCTTGACTGAACCTGGACACGACCCATAGTATCAATGCTAAGACTATTTAAGCATCAGCAACTTCAATGAAACGTTGGCACTAAATATTGTGCGCGTTGTATAAACTTTATATTTTAATAGTTTAAACCTAATTCTCACTTCTAATTTAGAATTGGAATGCGAAGTGCTTCTTGAATCATTCCACAGTTTGGACACATGTCTGGGGATTTATAATGCTCATCATGATAGTTATCACTGATGCAGTCATCTAATGATGTCAGTATGACTATACTCAAGGGGCCTGGATTATAGCTGATGCAACATGGTTGTCGGCATCAGAATGTTTTCACATGGATGAGATCTTTTGGTGTCCGGGACCATACAGCTGTATAAATGTTCTATGGCTCTTGAAGACATTCATGACTCTGTGATTTCTCTCCAAGGATTCTAGAACTTCAGCAGAACGGACACATGGATCTACTGAAGCATAAGTGGTGGTCAAAGAATTCCCAGTGTGATCTGCATTCTTCTGTGGACCCCAAATATAAAGGAGGAGCCTTGGACATAAAAAGTTTTGCAGGTGTTTTTTGCATACTGGCAGCTGGGATTGTTCTCTCCTGCTTAATTGCCATGTTGGAAACATGGTGGAATAAAAGAAAAAGCTCACAGGTTCCTTCAAAAGAGGTATGAGACCCTTCCATTTCATCATAGCACTAGAGGTGAGAAGGAAAATGCATCTTCTGATATGTTTTAATGGCATTTTAATCACCAATTTTGAACCATTTGTCTGAAAAAAAACATCAAGGAAAAAATAATATAATGTCGTACTTATGAATACTTGTCCTAATTAATTTCCTTGGGATTTACTAGCGCATATCTTGTTCACGAGCATTTAGTGAATAATAATTGGCTTTCATATTATTTATAAAGTATTAGCAATTAAGTATTTTATTACTAATCTGGATAAGATCTATCTTCTACCAACATACGATGCAGCCTGATCCTACATTCAAAAGGAAATCCTGCTAATTCCACAGGGCTTACATCTAAGACTACATCCTTTATTGGCTTAACTGAATTTTATCTTTAGGTGATTAAAGCAGGATCAAATGTTAATCAGTTTTGACTTCTGGTAAGATTTTGCTTCCCTGTTTCATAAGATGTGAACAAAAAAAGAAGGCCTGCAACCGATGGTTTATTAAACTGTACGTTGTTATATACATTTCCTTTAAAATCAGCTGCATTCGGAGGTTTTCTGCTCTTTCCTTTTTTGATGACCTGCAACTGATCACCCAAAAGTTAAATTTAATGATCTGGCTAACTGATCAAATGGCAGAGAATTATTAGAATTACTTCAATCAGTTGCTGCTTCTGTCCATCGTTTCTGTGATGTTTGAATGCAAAATTATGCCTTAAATTGTTCTATGAAATTTTTTCAGAGTGTTAAGCATTTTTCAGAACTACTCAGGTAAAGTCATGTTCAGATTGGTGGGAACACAATTTTCTTTAGCTTTAATCACTAGATTTCTAATTTTTTGCAAGTGTTGATGACTATACATCTGTGGAGATACTCAGCCATCCAGGTCATGATTGTCCCAAAGGTGCTTTTTTCAAGAGGCAGCTTTCTTCATAGAAAGTCCAGTTGTCCCTTGAAAAAAAGCTCATTTGGGGTGTTGATGACTATGCAATCTTTTAGCCAGATGCACATTTAAGAAAATTTATCAGTTTTGAGCAAAGGATTATGTGCTTAAACAAACATCCTCCTCTTGGGACAGCAGATCTCCAATGCCCTTCCTGCAAACAACTTTAAATTTCTCCTGTTTCCAAATAAGGTTTTAATAAAGAAGGAAAATTGGTTAAAAAAAGGCTCACTTAAAGCATCTACAGGTAGACCTCAACTTACGACCACAATTGAGCCCAAAATTTCTGTTGCTAAGTGAAACATTTGTTAAGTGGGCTTTGCCCCATTTTATTACTTTTCTTGCCACAGTTGTTATGTGAATCCCCGCAGTTGGTCAATTAGTCACACGGTTGTTAAGTGAAACTGGTTTCCCTGTTGACTTTGCTTGTCAGAAAGTCGCAAAAGGGGATCTTGTGACCCTGGGACAATGCAACCATCATAAATATGAGTCACTTGCCAAGCAACTGAATTTTGATCACGTGAGCATGGGGAGGCTGAAATGGTTTGTAAGTGTGAAAAATGGTCTTAACCATTGCTGTGTGTCCCAGGGTCACGTTTTGCAACCTTTTGATAAGGGAAGTCAATGGGGAAGCCAGATTCATTTAACAACCGGGTTACTAAGTTATCAATGGCAGTGATTCACTTAACAACTATTGCAAGGAAGTTCGTAAAATGGAGCAAAATTCACTTAACAAATAGTTTAACAATGGAAATTTTGGGCTCAATTGTGGTCGTAAGTCGAGGACCTGTATATAGCTATACATAGCATGCTTAATGGCAGGAGCTCCCCCTTCAGACCTTAGAATTAAATGTACAGCAGACTTCTGAGCAGGATATATGGTCAGAAAGACAGGACAAAGTTTGCAAGATTATCCCTTTTCTCTACTTAGGTTGAGCTCACACGTCCTTGAATAAAAGTAAATTTTCACTGGGTTTGCAAAGTTCCAGCCATCTCTTCCTTTCAAGAGAATGGGACATATTTATAAAATTCATCACCCTCAAAATGTCAAATATAAATTATGGCTTAATTTTCACAGCCCTGAATTGTTTATTTTTAAATTCCTTTTCTGGCCTACTTATAGAGGGATATCTCTGGATTTTGTTTAAATCATTCTCTTTAGGCAGGCTTGCAATTCATCAGAGTAATGCACTTCTAAATCAGAGTCTGCACTTCTAAATCAGAGTTCTGACAAAAGGAAAACGTGACTGTATCAGAAAGCCAAGGGATCAATTTATGAGATTACTGTTTAGAAGAAACTTATACAAATGTTATCCTTGTGATTTACAGCCTTAAGAAATAGGTGGGGTGAGAGGAGTGGGGGAACCATTTAGCTACTGCAAATACTGGCAATTTAAAATGTGGGTGAAATCTCATGAAGTAGTATCTTGGAACATCCTATCATAATTTGTTTGGCTTGCAACCAAGTGTCCCCATGTACTTTACATTGCATCAATTTATCCCAAGCCCACTGGACTTCACAGTTGCACCCTTTTCATTCTAAGGAAACAAATAAATGCCTTAAAGTTATAAAACTGGCAGTGAAGTCGTGAACCAAAGTATCCCATGCAGTCATGTATGCTTGTGTCATAACAATAGCTCTGACAGAAGTGAGACCTGTCCCGTTAATCTCAAAGGAATGTAAACTCTGAAGCCCAGGTGATAATTTAAATGTCTGTAATGGCTGAATATTTCACTGTTGACCAAGGCACATTTGAAAGAAGAGGAGCAATCATTTTGTGGAGCTATGCACAAGCCATCCTGTGAGTGGTCTCTCCTTTTGATGCCTTAAGTGGGTGGACTACGGGTCAAGGGATGGTATTTGGCAATTGCCACTTTTAAAAGCCGCCCGTTCATTTTCTTATAAACAATGGGGATTATGTTCATCAGTAGAATTAATCTTAAAAGACCACATAGGGATGTCATGGAGGATGGTTATTTAAGGTAAAATAGATGTTACTGCAAAGATAAAATTAAGAGTTGGTCTTACTCTAACTCAGAGGTCTCCAAACTTGGCAACTTTAAGACTTGTGGACTTCAATTCCCTGGGAGTTCAACTCCCTTAAAGTTGCCAAGTTTGGGGCTCCCTGTTCTAACTGAACCCAATGATAGTGCTTTAATCACCAAAACAGTTCACATATTACATTTATCATAAGAGTAGAAGTTCATATTATCTTTGAATGCATTCCGATCATTGTGGATGAATTGCTTTGCTATTGATAGATATCCAGAAACCTAGTTGGTAAATCCCTCTGTGTAATAGCAAAATGTGTGCTTAAATACTTGGGCCAAAAGAGCAGATCTCAAACCTCAAATGATCTTTAAATATAGTAGTCCTCAACTTATGAACAATTGCTTTACAACCGTTTGAAGTTACGAGGAACTCATCCCCCAAAAGCTACTTATGATCTGTTTTTGAGGTTATGATGTTAGCACTCCCCAGAGTCACAGTGATTGCACTTTGGGCATTTAGCAAGTAGCTCACCTTTATGGCCATTTGTGGTGTCCTCTGATTTGCGACATTTTTTGCCAGTTTCCAATGTTTACTTCCTGTTTCTGGCAAAAAATGCTCATTGGGGAACAATGATTTGCTTAATGGCCATGGCATTCACTGAATGGCCACCATCAAAAAATGGTGGAAATTAGGATCTGGTCTTGATTTATGATTGCAACAATATGTCTATAATTCCAGGCTCAGTTATGATTGTAAATCAAGGACTGTCTCAAACAAGATAGATATTGTAGCCATCTCTCTATCCATATCTGCCAAGTGGCTTTTAGGCAGTGAAAAAAGTGATATAACACAAGTGTGCATATATGCAGTGTAAATTAGCAGTTAATATACTTGGCTGCCCCATTAGACTTTATTTCATACATCCACTGTATCAAATAAAGCTTAATTAATACATATTAATTCCTATAGAATTCTCTAGTTTCCTTAAAGTTGTTTGAGGACATGGTAAAAAATGGAAATGGCAATGCAATCCATGAAAATAATAGATAGTGAGAAAGAAAGGGTATTTTCTGCATGTGGGTGGGTGGGTGTGTATACGGACAAATATTACACACACATAAACATACACATGTAATTACAACATATAAATCACATGCAATGCAATATAATTTATTTATTTTTCCCCGTTAGTTGGCATAGCTTAGGTTAATATACTCATTTATACTGAATTTTGACAAGGAGGCTTTGAAAATAAGGAGCAAGCAAGCCATGTACAGAGTTTGGTGAATTTAAAAACTAAGGCAGTATTAAGACATTTCTTCAAATAGATGGCAGAAATGGCTAAAGTTTTTTACCAGAACACTCGATATTAGATCTTTCTCCTCCAGTATATATATTGTATAATAATATTGTAAGCTGTAAGCAAGTTAGGTGTAAATAAATAAATAGAATGTTTCAAAAATTCTATATTTAACATTATATATAGAAATATTGTTTGAAAAAAAATAACATGTTACAGTTACAACAGGAGTGAACCTTAATTTCAAAATGCATTATTCGTATAATAAAAATACTATTTAGGGCTAAAAATGTGTTTTCATTCAGCAAGAGAGCTTCCAGTTTTCATATAGCATTATTATAAATGCCATTAATTTCAAATGCACATATCAGCCAAGTCTGAATTGCCTTCAAAATAAAGCACTCAAAATTAGCAGTCAAACAATTGGCACATTTTTTCCGATCAATACAGGAAATTTATGTGTAGCCCTTAAAATCCACACATGCAATCCATAATACTTTCTGAAAAATAAGTGACTTTAGCTTATCAGCTGTTCTTCATGAAGGGTTCTATAATCCACTTTTACTTTGAAATATTATGTTTATTTTCTTTTTATTTAAGAAAATGTATATGGCCACCCAACTCACTGCAGTTGTTAAGTTAGTAACATGGTTGTTAAGAGGACCTGGCTTCTCCATTGACTTTGCTTGTCAGAAAGTCACAAAAGGGGATCACTTGACTCCAGGATACATAAATACATGACAATTGCTAAGTGTTCAAATTTTGGTCATGTGACAACAGGGATGCTGCAAAGGCCTTAAAGAGTGGAAAATGGTCATAAGTGACTTTTTTCTGTTGTAACTTCGAACAGCTACTAAATAAACGGTTGTAAGTCACCCATTGTAACTATTCCCTCTCTCCTTGCTCCCTTCTTGCAAAGCCAGAAAGATTGCTCTAGATCAGAGGTCTCCAAACTTGGCAACTTTAAGACTTGTGGACTTCAACTCTCAGAATTCTGTTGCCAAGTTTGGGGACCCCTGCTCTAGATAGTTGGTCTAGTCAATGTCCTGCCAGTAGTCTGGATTACATTCTGATTCATTTTTGAATGTGGTGGCGCAGTGGTTAGAATCCAGTACTGCAGGCTACTTCTGCTGACTGCCAGCTGACTGCAGTTCGGCAGTTCGAGTCTCACCAGGCTCAAGGTTGACTCAGGCTTTCATCCTTCCAAGGTGGGTAAAATGAAGACCCAGATTGTTGGAGGCCATAGGCTGACTCTGTAAAACCACTTAGAGAGGGGTGTAAAGCACTATAAAGCGGTCTAACTGCTACTGCTATTGCCTTATTCTAGCTCAACTTCTTTCCCCCTTCGTCATGAAAGACCTTTTGTTTTTGGTTTGGAAAATGAAGGCCTCGAAGGGTATCTTATTCATTTTCTCCCTTTTGCTTTGCTCCTTCCAGGATGACAAAGAAATTGATCTAGAGCATCTCCACAGACGCGTGAACAGCCTCTGCACAGACGATGAAAGTCCCCATAAACAGTTTTCCACTTCATCCATTGACTTGACTCCACTGGACATTGACACTTTGCCCACGCGTCAAGCCCTGGAGCAAATCAGTGACTTCAGGAACACTCACATCACTACCACAACTTTCATACCAGAGCAGATCCAGACTCTTCGTCGCACACTTTCAGCTAAAGCTGCTTCTGGATTCTCTTTCGGCAATGTGCCTGAACACCGGACTGGCCCGTTTAGGCACAGGGCTCCAAATGGGGGCTTTTTCAGAAGTCCTATCAAAACAATGTCTACGATTCCATATCAACCCACTCCAACTTTAGGGCTAAACCTCGGTAACGATCCAGACCGAGGCACGTCTATATAAAGACTTCAGACATTGCTTTGTCACTGTTTCTTCATAGGACTCCCTTTGCAAGGAGCGGCTGTGATATTGTGGAACTAACTTGGATGTAACTTTTTTTAAAAGAAACCTGGAGTATTAGTAACAACTCATTATCCTTCCTCTTGCCCTCCTCTTTTTCATTTTTCTCTCTTCTACTACGTTAGGCTGTGATATTTCAGCCCCGTTTCTTTAGGGTAGCCGCACTGGCTAAATTAAAGTGGTTCTGGAGTAAGTCTTTTCTAGAACGTCTTAACGTTGTAACAGTGGTGGCATGCTACCGGTTTGGACCGGTTCACCTAAACCTGTAGTTTAAAAAAAAGGCTCCGATGATCAGCTGAGGCGAGGAAAAAAGTATCCACACAATCAGTTGAGATAAGAAAGAAGTGCAGGATCAGCCCTCCCACACGCCCCTGCACTTTTCTCTTTTTTATCCTCTCAGATGATTGGCACTGCAGGTCTCAGCTGGTGTGGGGCAAGCTGCGTGCTGGCATTAGGCAAAGCATGCCCACCAAACTGGTGGTCAAACAATTTGAATCCCACCACTGCATTGTAACCATCAGGCTGGTGAGACTACTCTGAATAAATGCAACCTGGGCTACCATAGGACGACTGCCTGCCACCCTTCTAAAACTCTATTAGTAGTCATTCAGCTGTGCAGGTCTTCAATTATGATTCCAATAGGCTGTTTCTGAGCACACCAGGATGTAAGTGTAACAACAGTTTGCCAATCTGTAAAGCAGCTGTGTCTTTTTTGAGGCATTGTGTAGCAACTTTAAAATCCCAGAAAAAAAATAATAATAACAAGTGTTTAAATGTTCATACAGGTGCTATGCTTGTATTCCCACATGTTCCAAAGCATCGTTTGAAAATGAACCTGAAGGTGTACACGGCATTATGTCATATATCACTTGAAATATAGGAACTAAATATGAAGTCTGTATCAAAAATTACAATGTTGTTTCACTGAAATACCTTTGATGTGTGTGTGTATCTATGTGTATGTATGTATGTATGTATGTATGTATGTATGTATGTATGTATGTA